ATATCAAATAGAATTTCCGATATATATTTGTTAATATGTAAAGGATCTAAAGCGAAAGTATGTTTTGAAATCCGAAATCTGTCTATCAATTTCACGCTGCTCGGCGGGGGGAACGCCGCGGCGGGGGCGTAATGAATTGGAAGTTGATCTGTCAGCACTATCCTTATCTTCAGCGCAGATGTTTTTATTTTATTTGGCTTATAATTCCTTACCAAATGTAGTATTTCATCTCGATATGCTCCGTCTTTGATATGATTTAAAACAAGTTCCTCGTCATTATAATTCGCTTCCGATAGCGAAGAATGTAACAGAGGTTATTGAAAACGAAAAAATTTCGATTGACAAATTAGTCGGTGTTCTCGACGCAGCAATTATAGGACTTCAGCAGCGGAACTTTGTAACTGAACAAGAAATTATGTCTGTTTAATAGAATTAAAGAGAAAGTACTATCACATGAAACAAAGCAAAACTTAAACAACTTATATTGAAAGAAATATTTAATAAAGTACACAAATAAATATTAAGCTTTTTCTTTTTGCAAATTTTGATACCCTTTAGATCATAATTGTTCTTTATTTCATAAATTACGGTTTCATATTTTTAATTTTAGAATTTCTGCATGCCATCTTACGAGATTTAAACTGATGATCTATAATTCAGAAAAATCGATAATCCGGAATCGCCGAAGTCCCGACGAGTCCGGATTAACGACTTTTGACTGTAATTGAATTTTGTGTTTTGTATTGAATTCAGTAATAAATTCTCTTTAAAATGATATATACGAGTTTGCATTTTGTGAAACGTAACGTTTTCTATAAGCATACAAAGTTCAAAAACATAAAAATTTCCAAGTGTCCACAATTTGGTCAATTTTGGTAATGCAGAGAAAATTCAATTGCTTTCAGACGTCCAAACGCACTTTTTTTTTTATTCATATAAAAAAGTATTAATCCAAGTTGCATAAAAATTGTGAGAAGTTTTAAGAATAAGGAAAAGACGGGAGAAATATATTGTAAATCGGGTTGGCGGGAGAGCGTTCAAAAATCGGAAGAGTTGGCAACTCCGAATATGGTATCCCAGATTACAACAACAGATAGTGGCACCTGCTTAGCGCAGCTTAGTTCAACTGGAACTCGAGAAATGACGTGCAAAGTCTCTACTGATCATTTAGGAGCTTTTAATTGTCATAGATGACAATATCTTACATATAGAAAACAACATAGATTGGCAAAGGCTTTCACAGGTTGTGAACCTCTACAAAAGCGATGGTATATGGTCTTTCTACTTCACACATAACTCACATAGCAACTAATTGAAATGGACACACCAAAGGTGCTCGGAGTTGCTTGTTGTATTATAAAGTGGGCAGAAGCAGAATCAAGTCATTGAACTTGCCAGGTCTTAGGGGATGTCGCCTTTAACGAAGGAACCGCAAGGCAATGGTCCAGAAGTTTAGGTCAGGAGATGTCTATTAGTGATGTACCACACAGCGGTCAGTCACAAATGCTAGACGATGAGGGCCTGAGAGCCACCATAGAGTGACAGTAGCCAAACATGTGGTGAGCTTGCTGCACACTTCCAGGTATCTGAAGAAACGATCAGACTCCATTTGCAGCGCATAGGAAAGGCATATAAGCTGAGCAACTGTCCAATGGAAACTAGCAACAGCGTGTCATTGCTCGCTCGGCACCGCAATGCATCCATTATTTGATCCAGTACTCATCAGCTATGAAAAGTGGGTCCAGTATGACAAACCCAGGCACTGTCACCATGAGAACCCTGTGCCCTCGCACTACGAGACCTCTTTACCCACGCAAGATCATACTCTGTATCTAGAGGACTAATCGCCAAGTGATGCACTATGAGCTCCTGACAATGGGCCAAACTATCACGGCAGGCCTATACTCACAGCAGTTGGAATGTGTGTATCAGGCACTGATACATAAAGGACAAACATTGATCAAATACGAAGCCAAATGCAACTCAGAAGGCCAGGGACACGATCCAGTGACTGGGCTGGGAGACACTACCCCATACATCATACTTCCCAGACCTCGCACCAAACACCACTTTTCCCATTGCCTGGACAACCATCTCCATGAGAAATCCAACAACTGACCAGACCTCGAAAAGGCACTAACGGTCTTCTTTATGACCAAGACTCCAGAGTTTTACTGTGATGGCATCGCACGCTTAGCCACTCTTTCACAAAAGGCACTGGATGCCAATGGCGATAACTTTGAGGATTAGCAGTAATTATTACAGTCAAAAGTCGTTAATCCAGACTTGTCGGGACTTTGGCGATTCCGGATTATCGATTTTTCCGGATTATAGATCATCAGTTTAAATCTGGTAAGATGGCTGCAGAAATTATAAAATTAAAAATATGAAAACGTAATTTATGAAATAAAGAACAATTATGATCTAAAGGGTATCAAAATTTACAAAAAAAAAAAGCTTAATATTTATTTGTTTACTTTATTAATCATTTCTTTCAATGTAAGTTAAGTTACTTCGTTTTATGTGATAATACTTTCTCTTTAATTCTATAAACAGACATAATTTCTTGTTCAGTTACAAAGTTCCGCTATTCAAGTCCTATAATTGCTGTGTCGAAAATACAGACTAATTTGTCAATCGAAATTTTTTTTATTTTCAATAACCTCTGTGTCACTTTCTTCAATATCAGAAGCGAATTATAATGACGAGGAATTTGATTTAAATCATATCAAAGACGAAGTACATTGAGATGAAATACTACATTTGGTAAGGAATTATAAAACAAATAAAAACATCTGTCCTGAAGATAAGGATAGTGCTGACAGCAAAGACGAAGTACATCGAGATGAAATACTACATTTGAACATTATAACTATATACTATACATATATCGAGATGAAATACTACATTTACATTTTGCTTTGGTAAGGAATAACAAATAAAAACATCTGTCCTGAAGATAAGGATAGTGCTGACAGATCAACTTCCAATTCATTGCACGCAGCGCCCCCATTGAAATAAATTATATGTAGCATTAGACATTTAGTTTACGCTTTGGCCGACAGATATCGTTAGTTGTCCACTAAATTGCGGCATTTGAAGGCACGTGGTTAATACTGCTTAAAATTCACTTTTTGCCATCTTTCTTACAGAAATGGCTAGAAAACGTTCAGCGATTATCTCGATTATTTAATTAAATTATTGAATTAATAATTAGATTGATCATTAATTAGATTTAATGAATCTGATGCAAAGACTGAGTTGGATTTTGACTTGAACCCTGTTTTGAACTATCATACTAAACATCATTTCTAAGGTAGTTATTCCTAAGTGCTTTATATCTTCTTAAATTTTATACATTTTGCTTTTTTATATTATGCAATAAATAGAAATTAACTGTAATTCGACTGAAATTTATTAAAAAAAATTTCTTTTAGGTGATAACATCTGAAATTGTTTTTTCTGGCAACTTAGTTTCTCATGATAAATAATCTATATAAAAAGTATTTTCTAAAAAGAAAAAGTTCATTTTTCAATTCTCCAATATATATAGATAGATTTAAAACATGCAAAAAAAATTTACACAATTTTTGAAGCGATTTCGGTTCACAAATTGAGTAGTCAGAAGGTTTAAGCGTGGTGTGCCTAGTTTGTTGCCTAGGTTGTGCAATTCATAGCTGTTTTTTTAAGTTAAAACATTTCGCTGTGTACATGGATTCTTGATAAATATTTTTTGTTAGAACCTTTACGTTTTTGCTATCTAAATTTTTTTGTTTTTGTTTCGGATTTTTAGCTTAAATTGTGTGTTGAAAACGTGGTTTTTGCATGTGCGAAAACGGCGTTTTTGGAGACATTTTGGACTTAAAGTTAGAAATGAAGACAAAAAATATAGATAGTAATATGTCAGCGTGGAGTTTCTCGCCAAAAATGTTTGCTGACCTGAGGGCGTATATAAGAGCAGTTCCCTTATAACATTTACATATAACAATTTAAAATGCACTCATTATAAAAAAAAATTCTCTGCATCTTTATCTGAAACATGTCTTTAAAAATTCTTTTAAGAACAAAAATTTAATTATTACATTAACATATAGATGGCAGACAAGGCAGATACCATTCAAAATTCGGATATACCGAAATGTAACCTTTTTTTGTTAGCAGTGCACACACATTTCTTTCTTTTATTAAAAATTTACTTTTTGTGTTACATTAATATTTAAATTAAAACTGAAAAACTTAAAAAAAACTTAAAATGTGTCGCCAAACGACCATGGTAAGAAAACGTGTAATTTTACAAGAGCACCAAGATGGCAGTAAAGGCATGATTATACTGTAACACTTTTATTTTCCGTTTCTCCTGCTCTTATACAATTATTTTCACTATAAAATGACAAAAGTAAAGGTTAATGATTTAGAATCAGTTAGGCGACAGACATGCATGTACACTTTTTACTGCAGTTTTCATTCCCAAGACGTAATCTAGCATTTTAAATATTTATTATACTTTTCCTCTGTAGTAACTGAAAATTATACAAAACAGAAAATCTGATATACGAAACTTCAATTTTTACTGAAACATTTATATCACACACCGCTACAACTAAAACGCAACCGAACATGGAAAAAGAAAATGTATAAGGTGAGCCAACATTACTGTAGAGTCACAGCAGACCATTTTATTTAAGATTAACAGAAGACACTTTATTGGAACGTTGTAATAAGACTTTTACGGCTAAGTATACTACACAGAAAAAGAAATTAGCATCACATGTGACTGAAAACCGAATTAAATCGTTGGATAACAAGCAGATATTATTAAAAGTTAGTCGCAAACTTTCAAAAACTGATAAATATTTATTTCATTTATAAAATGTATTATATTTTAATGTTTACTTAAACAAAGCTATTTATGAAGGGGTCTAAATACTACTAAAATAAAAATGGCGCTACCGGCCGCTATCCACTAAATTTCACATATCAAATAAAGAAGAAATACTCACTCTTCCTCCTTCATTATCAGTTCTTTGTCTCTTGGCCGCATGACCATCAAATTGAGCCATTTCTTATAAAAATTATGGGAGTAATAAAGATCAACTGCAATTTTTTACAACAGCACGAGTAACGTTCACCAACATACGCAAATGGTTCGAGAACTACCAAAAGGAAGGAAGGAACTGAATCGATACGATCGATATTTTAATCGCATAGTTGTAGTTAATGCCCGAAATTAAAAGCAGGACAAATTATTTCAGAAACCATATTGTGGGTACATTTCTGTTAAGAATAATAAAGAAAACAATTAAAAGACGTTTCGTTTTGTTATTTTTAATTACGAATCAAACATTTAAATACCTTGCTTTGTAATATACAGTACCATAATAGTCTTCTATTAATTAATAATAAGCCAGCTGTTTTCGTACACTGCGCAAAAAAAAAAAAAAAAAAAAAAAAAAGTGTCAGTTCTTTTCTCTTGTTCTACTGGACCGCTTTACGAAATTCGAATTGCGTTTTTCATGTTTCCAAAGCGCAAGTTAGGCTACAATGCTATATATTAGCATGCTATGCTATATATTAGACAACATAAATTAATCTAATATATAGCGACAGCATTGTTTTAACATAGGTATTTTGACACAAAATCAGACTTTTTCTGAATTAACATGCCAATTGTTTTTCATATTTCGATTCTGTGACTCAAATTATACCTAAATATTAAATTTGGATAAGGTTCGGAGAACAGCCTTAACGCCAAAAGGGGAGAAACAGCTTATTATGGTAGCCCACTTTATGGTTGTCATCCGATGACGTACTTCTTCTAGGAGGACAGCGTGATACCTTTTCCCTACTTAGGGATTATCCGTAGCAGCAGATCGGTCGATTTTGCACTCTTTCTTTTATTCCCATCAAAGGCGTAGCTAGGATTCCAGCGCCCGGGGTCAACTGAAGAATTTGCGCCCCTTTCTATGTGCCAAGAATGCAAAACATTCATTAAAAAATTTCGTAGCATTAATTTGGCGCCCCCTGGATGCTGTGCCCGAGGAAAGATGTCCCCTTTTGCCCCACCTTTGGCTACGCCACTTCACTCATGGACCCAATCGTATTTTAGGAAATTTTCTACTTCTTTTCTTTTGTAAGATTCCTGTCCTTAAGTTGAAGCGGAAAATGAGGAACCTTAAGAACTGGTAAGCGAATAATCACTTAGTTCAGCGAAAAAAAAAGCAGAACTGAATAAGGGCTAAATACCCTTTATTATTCAAAATAAATTGAGCAGACGACTCCTTCTTGGAGTTTATAATAAAGCCTCCACTTGGGCTTGAACTGAGGAATACTAAAAAATAAAACTTAACTAAACTTAAATATAGCCGAAACTATCAAGATTATAACAGAGTTGGCCCTTTAACGCAAACTAACGGCGAAGCTATCAGAGGCCTAATGTACGGCCGAGCACACTAATAGCTTAGAGAGATAAAGAGTAGCCTAATAAAAGGCGAACGCGAGCTGCTCAGAAAATCTGGCTCTTTAACGAACTCAGTAGAACTTCAAAGTTAAATACTTCTTCCCCTCATTTGCATTTGACCGCGATTCTGAAAATACGTTCTGACCGGAAGTTGTAAGCCGAAATTAAGAATGGAAAATAAGTTTAACTAAAAATTAACTGTTAGATAACGTAAGATAAACCTTACACCTTTCCTTTCTATAGGCCCTTTTGTTTTTCATCTGTTACTTTTGGGCTATTTATTTTGGACATCAGAAAATGTTAATAGATTACTTGCAATCAATGCACATAAATAAATGCTAAAAAGGGATAAGTTTCGGAGAACAGCCTTAACGCCAAAACGGGGAGAAACAGCTTATTATGGTAGACCACGTTATGGTTGTTATCCGAGAACGTCTCTCTAGAGCACAGAATGATCTTTTCCCTGTAAGGGATATCCATAGGCAGCAGATCGGGATGCGTATTCGCGAAATATTATGTTTGCTTCAAGCAAAGATTTAATTAGAAATAGCAATACTGATAAATTGTAATATAAAAAATAAGTGTTTGTACCTTAATATTATATTTAATGCTTATTTCTGTTTCATTTGCTTTGTGACTTCCCTTACTATCGATGTTCAACATGGTTTTTTCTAACTTTAGTATTTATTTATGTGGCCTTGATTGAAAGTAATCTAAGCAGTTCTTGTTCTTCTTCTTGCAATGGTGCTTTCATATCATATTCTAGTTATGTACAAGCGAATCAGAGGAACTTTATTGCTATAGTGGCAGTTTTTTACTTCACAGTTTAGAAATATCTTGCTTAAGACCTTAAGTCTCAGACTAAACTATTTGAGTATATTTGTTCTGGGACACTTGTAGCCTCAGTCTGATTTAGTTATAGACATTTAATATTTTTAGTATTATTGTCGATTAGAAATAATAATAACTTTTTAGAAATATATGCGATAAATTGTGTGCTGTTAGACATGGTAAATGCTCTCAAGTCTAATTGTCAAATTCGACAAAGCAATGGTATTGTATTCTTTTTTAACTGCGTAAAATATAAAAATTTTATTAAACCTGCTAGAAGGATGCATATTTTTGTAGTATTTAACACATATTTAGTTTATATGCAGTATGTATGGAAAGAGAATTTGCATTACCATTTCTTCATCTTATAGTATTTTAATATATATACATGAAGTCCGATAATTAATATCCTGATGTCATAAAATAATGCTGAATGCAGTTATAAAAGTGGATTTAAATGCTATAAAATAAACTAAAAATATTTTGTTCATTTTTGATTTTAATTGTCATAATACATAATCTCCAACTTACAGAATGTAATAGTGAAAATTTTGCAGTTTTTCTTCATGATTTATAATTTAATTAAATAACTGAAGTCCTGGTCATTGTTAAATTACAGCAAGATATTTCAGAATTATTATATGAATGTACAATAATAATGCCAAATCATGCATTACAATAACATGAATGTTTTGAAACGAGATTGATTCTACTGCGACCTTGTCAGCCATTAGCATCACTGCAGCAGAGACTTGCTATCTTTCAAAGTAGTATCCCAATCACTTCTTGTCATTGTGAGCATGTATTGCAGTTAGTAACAGTTCATCTGAAATTCTGATAATATCAGCTTATTCTTGTAATATCTATGATTAAATGGCATTTTATAATTCTTTGCTTAATAACGAGGGCCATCCAGGAAGTATACGTTTCCGTCTGTGTCCGCTAGGGGCGGGGCTAGCGCGGCCATCTTGGGGTCAGAGCGTTGCGCAGCTCAGTCTGCATCTAGTCCGTGCTAGTGAGAGGTTCGTGCTGTGCTCCGTTCAGATACTGTGACGGTTTGAAATGTCTGCGTTAATTGAAATCCCGCGAGCTGCGAGGTGCGCTCAGTAATAAGGTTTCTGACTGCAAAAAACTGTAAACCGATAGAAATCTATCGGCAGCTTCGTGAAGTGTATGGGGACACATTATCACTGAAGGTGGAGTGCGTCAGTGGGTCATAAGATTTCAAAATGGCCGAACCAATGTTCACGACGAAGATCGAAGTGGGAGACCCGCATAGTGACCGCCGAACTTCTCGAAAAAGTCGATGCTAAAGTCGTGAAAATCGAAATTTCACAATAACGGAACTTTCTTTGAGTTTTCCACAAATTTCGCGAAGTTTGTGCACACGAAATCATCAGCGAAAAGCTTGGTTACCACAAGTTTTGTGCAAGATGGATTCCAAAAATCTTGACAGAGGACCACAAAATCAGCGAATGGCTGCAGCGTTGAACTTTTTGGACGCTTACCATAAGGATGGTGACTCTTTACTCGATCGCATCGTTACTGGTGACGAAACATGGGTGAAACATGTGAACTGTGAAACGAAATTTGCAATCAATGGCAGTGGGGCACACAAGTTCTCCCCAAAAACCCAAGAAATGCATGCAAACATGTCGGCAAGGAAAGATGATGGCGACTGTTTTTTGGGACAGAAAAGGTGTAATTTTGGTGGACTTCCTGGAAAGAGGCACTACAATAAACTCTCAAAGGTATTGCCAAACTCTCCAAAAACTCAGAAGAGCAATTCAAAACAAGCGCAGAGGAATGTTGAGCTCTAAGATCTTGTTGATTCACGACAACGCCCGGCCCCACACGGCAAATGTCACTCGTAAAGTTCTTGAATCTTTTAAGTGGGAGTTGTTTCCTCATCCGCCGTACATTCCCGACCTGGCACCGAGCGACTTCCACCTATTCCCAGCAATGAAGAAGTGGCTGGCTATGCAGCGTTTTGATGACGACGCACAGCTGCAAGAAGAGGTAACGAAGTGTTGAAGGCGCAGGCGGCCGAATTTTTCGACGAAGGAATTTCCAAGCTCGTACATCGCTACGATAAATGCCTTAATTTGTATGGTGACTATGTAGAAAAGTAGTATTTGAGTGTGGCTTTCATCTGTATATAAAATTTGTTTCCTATACTTTGTTTATTTTTTTATTCCAAACGTAATCTACTTTCTGGATAGCTCTCGTATTATGTATTCAGTTTCATTCCACAATACATTGTATTGCAAAATTATTACTTAAGCCTGCTAT